AAAATTCAGGAATAGCTCAAATGATTGAATCCTCTGGCTCAATATAAAGCATTTTCTTCTAAATGAACATTTAAAAATAAAGGAATTGAGCACTTATAAGAAAAAAGATAAACCTGTAGTTTTGTGAAATATTTGCATCTACATCTTAGAAAAATACCATAAACATAAAGAAAAGTTAATTTCCTTACTCAATGAAAGGCAGAAATCACTGATAATCTTTCTTAAGATGTCTCAATATGATCATAGGAAAAGTAGTCAGCATGGTTTATTTCTTGGGACAACTTCATGCATCATAAAAAAACCTCCAAACTAACAAACTGCTTTATAGTCTAGGAATTAGGCCTATATCGTATAAATTGTGATTGTAAGAAAATGGGATTTAACAACAAAAAAGTGTACAAGTCAATTTATTTAAAAAAATTACATGGCTTGAGAAGGTAAAAAAGTTACAATTCTACAGGGTTGATTTACTGTAGATAGTGAAGGAAAATGGATTAAAGACAACATACTTTGTAGCAGTCATTTGCAATTAGCTGCAGAAGACTAAAGGATTCTCCTGAAGTTTCCATCTTTAGATAGAGTTCCCAGGCTAATCTTGGTTTCTTATTCATAATATCTGAAATCAACAGAAAATTAGAACTAGTAGAGGCATGTTGCTACAGTGTTTAGAACCGGATAAGCATATTAATCAGCGATATTGTTCTTTACACTGGCTGTTCAAATAAGTTGAGAAGTAACATAGCCACACCAATTATGTCAACAGGAAAATTAAAAAAACATTTTTTAAAAAATATGTGCCAATATACAAGTTCTATATGAGAATGAACTCTAGATTATAATGGGTACTTTCAGTATGAGCACACAGCTGACTGAGCATTTGAACAGATCATACATATGAGTTTTTATATGAAAATACAGTCAGTTGCCTTCCTGATTTACACTATCAATTTCTTCTTTCTGGTCTATTATACAATATATAATATCTATGTTGACATTAAACCTACTTCAGAATAAGTATACATATTATGATTAGTGGAAGTTTCAGTTCTCTACTCCTAAATAAAAGGACGTGTAAACAGACACCAATGTTTAATGATAAAATACTTTAATTATGAGAAGCTCAGCACAAAGCAGTTGCATCATATGCATGCAGTTTTCAGTATCCTCTAAGGTCCTGCTTATAGAACTTTTTAAAGTGAATAGAGCAAATGTAATAATATTCCATTTAGTTATTGGAAAACTTAATATGGTGCTGATACGTATCTACATAGGAAGTTTGTTATGAAGTGACCCTGTCTAGAGATTACAGCTACTGATGCTAATTTACAAAAATAGTTCTAAAACCAATTAACATATGCAAGCTAACAACACTGCACTTTTACAACTTCTTACACAAACGCAGCATTTATTCTTATATGCTGATTGGCTAGAAAGAACACCACGTTTTTCTCACAGCTCTAGCTTGCCAGCAACCTCATAATTATGAAATCAAGGTGGTAAAAAGCTGGCAAAACACCGTTACTTCACCATCCCTATTGTATGTGCCAAGTCGCCCAGCATTCCTATTTAAGATGACTCTTTTCCTGCTGATATATCCTGATCTTTGGGCAAGTTAGCAGAGATATGAACGTACAAATCTGCCATTTATTTCAGTATTGATAGGTGATGAAGCCTTCAAACTGCTGTTCACAGATGTTTTTTAATGTATTTATTTGATTTCTATAGCCGCCCATCTCAACAAGTGAATTTATTGTTGTTAAAGCAGTGAGTCTTAAAGATCAGATAATTAAATATTTTAAAATTTAAAATGCAATAATGTTGTTTCAACAGTATTGATTTTCAAAGAGGAGAAAATTTAAAAAAAGTTTACGGCTTCTTGATTTACTAACATTTTTTATATGTCTATAGAGATTCACAGTCATCCAGGTCATGGTTGTCCCAAAGGTGCTTTTTCAAGAGGCAACTGGACTTTGTTTTTCCTTGAAGACGTTTCGCTTCTCATCCAAGAAGCTTCTTCAGTTCTGACTGTTGGAACATCTTCAAAGAAAAACAAAGTCCGGTTGCCTTTTGTAAAAGCACTTTTGGGACAACATTTTCTATAGATTATCTCAAAGAACTGGCCTATTTCCAAGGCAGAAATTCCAAGTCCCTCTCTCAAAACCTTGGGAAATTGTTTCTTAAAAGACATTTGTAAGAAATAAAATTATTCTAGCTTAAAAATAATTAAATTTACATGAACTTAATACTTAATTTCAAATTAAAATTAATTTAAGGGAAGAGATTAGCAGGTCAATACATATTTTACAATAAAGTGGAGTGACTCACAGCAGCGTGCTAGCCAACTGAGGTAAACAAAATCATTCTTTATTTTCTCACTTTGAATCAGGAGGAACACCTGAGAAGAAACAAAGAAAACCAAGCTTCTGTTCACATTAAATATAGCTCTGCAATACAGGCCCTCAATCAAATCAGGGTTTGTCGTACTAAAGATTCAGCAGCTATAAAAGAAAATACAATTTTCCCTTAAGAAAAAAAAGTATTTCATCCAATAATTATTTATTGAATAATTTGCCTTATCAAAAGACCCCCCAGGATCTCTGTAGCAGAGATGTAATACAAAAGCAGAGATGTAAAAAAGGAAGCTTGCAGTCCTGATATAGCCCATCATTATGTATTTTATGGCCCTTTTGAATGGTAACAATTAGCATTTTAAAATGTCTGGGGACAAAACATGTCTAAGTTTGGGAATGATTCTAGATTGTTTTCATAAAACACTAGTTTAATATACAGACATATTTTAAAAAGAAACAATAACCAATCATTTAATTTTTAATCCTTTTTTTCCAAACAATCATTCACACTGAATTTTTTTTTAAATTTTTTAAGCTTCAAAGAGCATAACTTTTTCATTAGAAATAGTGAAGCTTTTCTCAAAATAGCATTTCTCTTGCCATTTTATGCAGAATATTTTGGAGTTTTATTCAGGTATACTTAAGGACAAATAGACCAACTCTTATATTGTATGTTTTCATCCATCCATGCATCCATCTGTCCTTGAAAAAAGTATTCTTCTGCAGTTGTGCAACTCATGCATCGAGTTAAATTTGAAGAGGGAAATAGCAAACAGTGGAATCCTTTTCTTTCAGCAGGAGACAATTTACTTCCATTTCTCAATATGTTACATGGGTAAAATATCAGACTCTGCTATTATACTGCAATAAATATTTACGTTGTCTGTAATTATCAGAGATTTTTAATTACAAATTATACAGTATTACCAATTAATCAATCTTCCACGTTCTCTTTTTGTCTTATATATATTTTTTCTGGCTTCATACACTTTGGAAGTGTGATCCCCAGACAAGATTCAGTATAGCTCCCAGTATTAAAAAAAAACACATTTTGTTGCTGTACAGTGTTGTTACCTTCTGAGTATATATGCCTAGGATTATGCATATATTTTATACTCAAAAGGTTATTGCCTCTTATTCATAACAACCTCCAAATTCTTTAAGAAACATATAGAACGTAAGCAGCCAATATTTTTAAACTTGCCTTTGGTCTTTTCAAGAAGTAGATACATACCTCCTCAGCCTCACTAGTATTGCCAGTAGCAGCTTTGGCTTGTGCGTAGTTAAAGTTAAAAGTGTCATCATTATAGAAATAACTCTGGAAAATAAAGCATGCATAACAAAGAAAACAGTTTAATGGTTTATGACATTTAACAGCTAGTATCAATTTTCAGCTATCATTTGTAATTGACAATACCATAGTATTTGTACATACTATGGCACTACTAGAGCAGATACGATGGATACATTAATAAGTTAGAAATTGAACTACTTTTGTCTTTCTCCCAAGCATGTAAACTCTTGCTATCATGTAACGTCCCCTTTGCTTGTGTCCTTAAAAAATTCCTCAATTCCATATTTTTAGTTCAATGAATGCCAAGTGCCTCCATTTTTATCAAGTTATGATATCTTGAAAATACAGCATCATACTGTTTATGTTTGATTCAAGCCTAGACAACCCCTAAAAATATAGTCCTGATGAATGTGAAATTGTTATTTCATTTAATTCCAAAACAATATAAAAATATGAATGCACAATTCTTAATTAATGCCTTATATAGAGGGAGGAATATTTATTTATTTATATATCATCAGACTCCCAAAGAACTCCTAGCATAATAGTCTATTAAATTACCCATAATTATACTAATGTAAATGTCTCCTAATAATTACATATAATCATTAAAAGGTCTTCTAAATAGCTGAGTTTTCATCACCTTTCTCTATGCTGGGAGGCATGGTTCAATACAGATTTTCACATGGAACCTATTCCAGAAGGTAGGGCTTGCCACAGAAAAAGGATTGACCTGGAGAGTAAGTTTTATTTGAAGCAATCTGTCCATCAGGCCAAGTCAGAAAGGGTTTTATATCTCTTTTTGCACACTTAAATAACACTTCCTCATTCTGTTATACCGAATTTCTAAATTAGAAGTCATAGCAAACCAGTTCAACAAAACTTCTCATCCTGATAATACTGTAACTTATTATATTTCTTTAGATCTTCCATGTATGAACTGATTACCGATATGTCCTCATATATTAAATAGCATAAATGCTAATTAAGAATTTCAGAAATTATAAAATATAATCATTGCTGTGTAGGTGAAAGTAGATCACATTATAATAACACTTTATCCATATTTATGCCAAAGTCTAGGAAGAAAAATACCATTTTCTTTGAGGTGTGGAAAAGTTTGCTCTTTTCTTAGTTGTGTGGGAGGTAGAAAACATTATCTAGACATACTGGTTTGGAATACAGAAAATGGAAATGTGCCAACTGACGTTAAATGTCAATCAGTATGGAATGTTTAAGTACATTAATTATATTATTAAATAATGAATCATCATATGTTCAGTAACATGTCTTCACAAATGCTTCACCTTTGTTTTGATAATCTCTGTATCCACATATTTTGTTAAGTGGTTTTTATATGCTATCAACTTCTAATTTGATTTAGATGTCAAATTTTTCATTCCTTTCACAAATATTCAAAATATTCTATATGGAAAATAGAAACTATCAACTAAATATAGCTCAGGTGAGTCCTGAAAAAAGATACATATGATTATCTAAGCACACTGCCACATATAAAAGATCTTCAGTAATAGAGAAGATCAGTTTCCCATTATAGTGTATAGTGCAGTGATGGCGAACCTTTTAGAGACTGAGTGCCCAAACTGCAACCCAAAACCCACTTATGCATCGTGTGGCCCATTGGGTGGGCGTGGCTGCAGTGGTAACTGGATGGGACTAAAAAGTTCAATCAATCAATTCCAACTTTGCAAGATCTTTTTTTTTCCCCGCAAGAAGTTGAAATTGACTGATTGAACCTTCTTTTTTTTTTTTGCACACGGCGGCAGAGGCCTAAAGCAAAAAGATTTTATAAAACCCAGCTGAAGGCCTAGGACTGGGGCGACGGTGCGCGTGCCCACAGAGAAGGCTCTGAGTGCCGCCTCTGGCACCCGTACCATAGGTTTGCCACCACTGGTATAGTGAGTCTATGGCTTATTTACAATAAACTCTTCATTGTTAATTGTATCAATATTCTATTAATTGAGTTACAAAGTGGTCTAGTAGTAGTCTCTGAAGCAGGAGACAGCTCCTAAAGTACCTTAGAACATCCCACAGAATTATAATTTTAATGCAACAGATAGAAAAAAATATAAATGCTTGGAAAGTAATCATAATTATTTTCAATTAATCTAAGTTTAGTTTTTATCTTGTCTTGCAATTTCCTGGAGTAGTTATTAACATTCCACTCAAAGCACAATCCTACCTTTCAGTCCTAATCTCAAAATTGTCAATTTTTCTTCTTCATCATCTCATTCATTTATTCATTTATGTCTCTTGAAAATGACCATATAAAGATATGTCTTTTTCTCTTAAGATTCTTAATTTCTATTTCTAAAGTAATTAAAAGCATTAAATACTGAACAGCTAAATTTTCAAATTGATAGATAGTCCTCAAGTTACAAATGGAATGGAGCCTGCCCATTCCATTCGTAACTTGAGAATTTGTGGGAGTGAATCTCATACCTTGAATGAGATCACTCCCTGCTTTTGCTCACACATTCGCTAATCGAATTCGTGGGTGAATGTGCAGTTTGTTAAGCACACGTATCTCAAGGTGGGGAAGGCCATGGGGGGGCCTAGTGATGGAACAGGCCCCAAGACCTCCCCGACCCACTAAGATACCTCATGCTTCCCCCTCCCTCGCTGCTGCGCCGGACTCCCTTACCTTGCAAAAATCCTCTCTGGCGCTGTTTCTCCTCTCTGCTGCTTTGAGGGAGAGGAAAGTCGATGGAAACTCCTGGGTGCCATAATATCGTGCACGTTCAGGCACCCATCCTCTTTTGCAGAGAATGGGTGCCTGAAATCTCGTGACAGAAACTTTGATTTTCAGGGCGAAAAGTGTTTGGGATGCCTGTCTCCTGCTCCCCCCCAACTCCTTTCCACCACCGCTGGAACACTTTTTAGCCAGATGGAAACCTTGGAGAGGCTGGAAGCTCCATCTGGCTGCAAATGGGGTGCTTTCAAATGCTCCATTTCAAAACGCTCCATTTCCAGCCAGACTTCAAACGAGTGCTAAGTGAACACTTGTAACTCAGGGATAACCTGTACATGTAGTAATACAGTACAAAATCATTAAAAGCTAATTACAATGAAACATCTAATTTTGCAGACCATGGTTATAATACTGTATATGCTTTAAAATTTATTTACATAAAAAGAAAGCAAATATGCTATTTCCAAAATAAAATGCTGTAGATTATAATTGGTGCTTTCTGTATAAACATGTTGATAAAAGAGAATGGGATGCTGAACTAACTTTTGTTTTGTATGACTGAGTATCCAATAAGTTAATTTCCTGTATTACTTAGGAAATGATCATGCTTAGTTGCTTCCTTAATTTCTGAATTAACTGACTGTCGGAACCCCTCAAATACTCATTTATTCATTTCCCTTTCTTTCCTGCTTTTGCTTATGTATTCATTTTCGGGGCCTGCCATTCTGCTGGGGGGGGGGTTGTGATTTGCCTTGCTCTGCTCTGTACAAGATGCCCTCCCTCTGGGTGAGAGGAATGTGACATGAAAACATCTGCTTTATCTCCAGACCATGGAGCCTGGCACTATTGGGAAACGGAACCGAGAGAGACTTTGAGAAGGGCACCAAATCTCCAGCTTCTCATAACACTGTGGCACCTGTGGATTGGCTGGATTTCAACTGGACGGTTGGACATTGGGGAGAGGAGTTCTGAATTGCCTTTTTGATGTAATCCTTTGTGCACCAAATCTTTAGACCTTGCTTTGCTTTCTAGCCATCACTAACTCTCAATAAAAGTTCCTTTTGAAATGATGCCTGTTTCAAAAGTTCTGCTTTCTTGGGAGATCTAGTTGAGGCAGATCCTTACACTGACCCTGTACAAGTCATGAAGGAAAAATTGAGTAAGAAAAGTTAGCCCTACAGTAGTAAAAGAAAATGATTGCTACAGGATAAGAGAGCTAGGGGATATTGCAACAACTTTTCAGTCATTTGAAAAAGCTAAATTCTTATTTTCTAATTATCTACTGTCAAAACAAAGGGGCTATATTCACTGTATAACTAGAGCCTTGAAATCTACAATGCATTATTACCTGATTGCTAGAAGTAATGATGCACCAAATATTGTAAATTAAAGGCAATGTCCAGTTTTTAATTGGAAAATTGGAAAATCAATTACAGCAGAGATGGTATTACATACTATATCTGAGAGTCAGCCCCAGTTGCTTCCTCAGATTTTGCTCCAGTGCCAGACAATCCCATAATAAAGATTTGGCAAGTAAAGAGACTGAATATGTTTTCATTTGGCTTGGCATTTCATGAAAAAATAGGGCTATGCAAAGCATTTAAAAGAGATTTATTTACAATTTTTGTAAATTATCCACAAGACTCTAGGTAGTTTATAGCAAAGAAAAATATAAAGAAGTAAGAGTTGCTAGGGCTAATATATGAAAGCCAATGCAATGCAGGTGCTGAACTAAGAGCAAGCTAACACAGATTTCTATTCCATTGTCAATTGCAACAATTCATTTTGGGCCAATCATTCCCTCAGCTCAACCTACCTCATGAAAATGCTGTTACGGAGAAAAAGAGGAGGGAACACTGTATTTGCTAACTTAATATCCTGACTGAAAGGTGAGATATAAATACAATAAATAAAGATAAGGCTCTGACTGACTTAAAAATAGGTCAAGTTGCTTTTTACATATTGACTGAGATTTTGCCATTTTAGATAGATTTATTTTGTCTACTATCTACGGTAAAGAGACAATAGAAAGAGGCAGTTATAGAAACTTCCATGAAGTCCAAATTGTATCAACCACATAGACCAACATAGATTCTAGCAAAACCAAAACCAAATAATTAATCATTGGCACCACAGCAACATTTTCACTGAAAATATCACAGATTAAAGCCAGATGCCCTCTCACTGGATTTTCTATGACACTTGATAAAATAGCCACCTTTTGAGATACTAATAAACAGACATATATGAATGTATACAAGATAATTGTAACTTTTACTAACCTTCACTGAATTGAGATATATTAGGACATCATCAAACTGCCTGAGCAGAAAGAAGCAAGAAGCCATACATTGTCTTCCAGGGATAGTATCTGAAGAACAACAGTGCAAATGAGTTGAGGGTAGCAAAAATGTTGGGGAATACACCTACCTTCATTTCTTTTCAAAGCTACTGCCAGGATGTCAGAATGCAACACTATGTATTATTTACTTTGGTGATACAAAAGGTACAAAAAAGTGTATTGTCTCCAAGATGCAAAGATTCAGGATGTGATGGAGAGGCTGAACTTGATTAATCAAATCTATTGACCATTATTCCCTTCTGCTGTTTCATGTTAGAATGAGTGAAGGTGCCAAAAAATGTCTGGAAAGATACCAAGCAACTATTATGCAAAGTGATTGCTAGAAGCCAGCATGGTTTGGTAAAAACATGTCATTCAACAAATCTTATTGCTTTTTTGACAAAGTGACTAATAAACCATGGGAATGCTATGGATATATTTCTTCCTTCTTCATAAAATTCACCAATGGATGCATAGTTCCACTATTAGTTGGATTTGCAGCTGATCAACTATGCTCAATGTGTGGCCGTTAATGGTACTATGTTTACATGGAGAGAGATATGCAGTGGAATAACTCAAGTGCTTTCAACTTTTCAAATATGGCTTGTTGAGGGGATAGAAAGAATGTGCATTAAGTTTGCAGATGACACAAAACTGGGGAGTGGGGATGGAAAAGGACAAATTGCTAACACCTCAAAAGCGACTCAAGATTCAAAAGAGTCTTGATAAATTTGGACATCAGGTCCTATCCAATAAAATGTTTTCCAATGGCAAAAAATGTAGGGTTCTGTACTTAAGTAGCAAACACCAGATTCACAAATAAGCTAGGCAGTATTTGGCTTGGCAATAATACTTGGAATAAACTAAGCACCCCAGTAGACCATAGATTAAGCACGAGTCAGTCTGCTACAGGTACCAAATATAATATTAGGCTGCATCAAGAAAAATATAGTGTCAAAACCACAAGAAGTGATAGTTCCATTTTGCACTACACTGATTAGAGGACAACAGGAGTCCTCAAATAAGTATGCTACAGAACTAAAAAGAACGACTAGAAAAGCAACAGTGATAATGAGGAGCTTGGAGGCTAAAATCTATGAAAATGGTTACATGAACCAGATATGTTTAACTTAAGACAAGGTTAAGCGAAGACAGAACAGAGGTCTTCAAATAATTGGAGAGCTATCACACAGAAGAAGGTATCAATTTATTCTCCATAGCTTCCAACAGTAGAATAAGAACCAACTGATGGAACCTGCAGAAGGCATAGAGAATGACTTTAAAGGCCAGTGGGAAGATCCATTACAAGGAAACAATCAGACAAGCACCTGTTGAACCCATTCCAAGAAACAAGAAGATGCCTCAGACAGGCTCCTCTTTATTCCACACAAAGATCAAGTGCGGAAGGAGGGAGGCATATTCAGACTTGCAAGATTCTGTCCCTATAGCTCAGGGGTCCCCAACCCCTGGCACTGGGTCCATTAGGCTGTGGCCCGGTCCCCAACTCCTGGCACTGGGCCACAGCCTACCAGGAACAGAGCCATGCAAGCAAGTGAAATCCCATCCACGCATGTGTGGGATGCAGGCAGTGTGTGAAACTATATCCCCCCCAGGGTCCACAGAAAAACCACTCTCTATTGAACCAGTCCCTTGAGCCCAAAACATTGGGGGTCACTGCTATAGCTATAGCTATTCTAATAAAAATACAAATAGCTTTAAGACCCATATGACATTTCTTTCTTAATCTGATATGCCTTAGAGGGCTGACAGAAGAGATCCAATTGGAATTTCTTGATAGTAACAGCTATTAGGCAGTAGAATAGACTGCCTCATGGAATTATGGCTACTCCCTCAATGAAGGTTTTCAAGTAAAGATCGTAGAGTCATTTGTCTGGGATGATCAGAGACGTCATGAGCTTTCCAAGTCCTTCCCAGCCCTATGATTCTATAATTATTTATGACATGAATATTTATAATCTGAATTCATAACTTAAATTGTACATATACACCTAATTCTAGCCAAAATAGCATATTTATGTTGCATTTGTATGTTAAACATTTCTATTTAATATTAGTTACTGGCAAATACTAATACCATGTTTCCCCGACAATAAGACTGGGTCTTTTTTTTTTTTGCCTCCAAAAGAGACAGGAAGTTTTATTTTCGGGGGATGTCTTTTATACTCACCTCTGGCACCGATAGCCCTGCCCAGCTGGTCCATTTCTTCTGGATGAAGGGACAGCTTCATTCTGCAGCTGCATTCCGGCCTGCATTTTGCAGTCAGGCCTTTCTGGAAGGCCACTGCAGCCGAGTACAGGTTCTCTGTACTCTGCAGCCGAGTACAGCTTCTCAGCTGCAGAGGTCTTACAGAACGGAGCTATGGATTGAATCCATAGCTTGGTTCTTGGCTGCAGGGACCTTCCGGAAAGGCCTGTGACTGAGAAATGCAGGCCTAGCTGCAGAAGAAGTGGGCCAGTGAGGAGAGGCCTGACTGCAAGGTAAGTGGGTGTGGGGCATGGGGGGCAGCTCCACCATCCCACCACCACCCTAGCATGATTTTTAGGTGTGTGCCTCGCCTCAAAACTAGGGCTTATTTTGGGGGTAGGACTTACTTTCTGGGAACATTTTATTGAATCACATAGTAAATTTAACATAATGTTTGAAGAAAAGAGAACACAGTACATTTAAAACATACCACATTCACTAGCAGATCCTCCCACCAGCTGGAAAAATTGCTGAGCAATTTTCAAATGGTCTCTCTGAAAAAGAACAGTATAGAAATAGGGCTTTTATTATGCTGATGAATATTTTTCCCTTTCTATTTCCTGAATGCCTAGTTTTATTCTTCATCATGCTCATTTTATTTTCCATTTTCCTCTCCCAAAATGTTTTGATGTTAATGATCATATCATTGTTTTTTTAAATTTCTGTGTAAAACCTTTTTTTGTAAATAGATGAGCCTTTCCCAAGCATGGTTATATTTCCTTTTTGTTTCTCAATAGCTCTAGTTTGCCTAAAACAGTTATAATTCAACACCTGAATTCATTATTAATGTAAAAGGCAATTCTACTTTTTGCCATATAAAACTAAAAGAAATTTATGTAAGCAAGGATCGTTAAAATCTCAACCAGCTTTTGTGTTCGATTTGGTCATTTATAGATTCTTCATAAATTCCTATTATCAGAAATTGTTATACTCACTGAACCCATTTCCTGCCCAAGTACTGCATTCACTACTCCTTTCAGAATATATTCCTAAAAATATTAAAAAATAATTAAATTATGCAATTTGTTTCCTGAAGCTTAAAACAATTTGCAATTCTTTTATTCAAATTATAGTGCAAATACACAGATATTTGAATCAGATATCTTTACGGATTCTAACTGTATCTGGTAAGCCAAATTAAATTAATGGCACTCAAACCATAAAAGGGCTGATCAGTCATCCATTTCATTCTTCTGATAAAATTTTAGGTGTATTCCATTATTCAAGCATGTATTTTAAGTGGAGCCATCCAGGTTCCAGAAATTCATCTTGCCATCTTCCAGGTTCTTAAAGTATACATCAGCTAAAGAAACTATTTTTAAATAATAACAGTAACAATAATGAATTTGAAATAAGTGAAATAATCAGAAAATACATATAGATAAACATCTATAAAAGTCACTTAAATGGAAAATCAAACATGTCAGTTGTTTTACTATAGTTTTTTATCCTAAAATTTCAAAACTTGAACCAAGTATATTGTGCAGCTTATAGTATTGTTTTCACCACTGTTAAGTATGAAAAATTCAAACGTTTTCATCAAGAATTAGCTGTACTTAGTTGCATTAAAATAAATTATGTCTGACACAAATGACAGTTTTTTTCATACTGATTTTAACAGAACTTAAATACTCTGATCCACTTATCTTAATTACTTAATTACTCTGATCCACATATATTTTTTAAAAAATAGAAAGCAACAAACAAAAAATAGAGGGTACAAAAATTTAATTCTATCTTATATTATTATCAAAGATAATTTCTTCTAGTATGTAACAATGAATAAACTTTTTTTAACCTGTGGGGTTGTAGGTTCCAAATCTTTAATCAAGTTGTAAGCCTCCTGTACATCATCTGAAAAAATATGATACAGTATATAATGCTACAGTATATATACTACACCCCTCCCATACTTTTATACTTCTATTGCCAAAAAAAAGTTGATAAATATCCGTGTAATGTTCTTTAAAGTTACAATACTGTATGTGTACAGTTTAAAGGCTTTTCAGCCTTATTTTATTCATATATTCAGGGCTTTTTTTCTCATAGAACGCCCAGAACGGAGTTCCAGCACCTTTTTTGGATGGAACCTTGTATGGTAGGCAAGGTGGGTTGTATGATGTGTGTGAGTTCCGGCACCTTTTTTTTAAAGAAAAAAAGCACTGCATATATTCACATATTATACATAGAGAAAAGAGAAGGAAAATGCATCAAAACAGAATGTCAACTTATTTTTTTCAGGATCAAAAAAGGATGAATTTAATTACTAAAACAAGACATTTTATTAGAGTAACAAACCAAAACATTCTGGGGGGATTTTGTTTTAATAGCACAGAAACAAATAAAAAAACACCAGGGTCAAAGTGACAATTGCAGAATAATAATACCTAAGATCAGCCCAAGATCAAAATATTTTTTGTTCCTACATAGATCAGCTGAAGTTAGAAGAGAGTGTATAGATTGACTTAAGCAAAAATTCACTTGTTCCTTTAAAAGGGACATTAAATAATAGGACTATGCAGCACTTTGGAATTGAAAGCAAAAATGTGATTGAAGTACAGGTGGCAAACATAAACATTTGTCTGCAATATTTAAAAAAAAACCATATATTTATCCAGGGACATCCTACTTTACATAATTTGTTAGCTCATGAAGGACCACAAATAAAAAATAGTAAGCAACTGTATCCCCCATAATAATCCCCAAAACAAAATACATATATTTTCTATTTGGTAGAACAAAATCACTAAAAAATGTGAACAGTAAAATGAGATAGATTTTTTTTCACCTTGCCGAAGATAGTAAATGACTAGATTCAGTCTAGCTTCAGGAATTACATCAACCAGTGGAGGGAGTACTTGGAGAGATCCTTCACCTCCTCGGAATACCACCTGAAAGTACTCACTTTATTAGTATTGTGGCAAACAAGTTACAATTTAATCTCATACATGTTTTAAACATATTTATTGTACTAGGCAGTTTATCATGAACTATGAAAATATGTCATTTATTACTCCATTGCTTTTGTAGTTGACAGATTAAACATTTACCCTAGAAATCATAGTGACATCTTTATTATTTAATACTATCTATATATACAACACTTTCATACACAGCCATTATGTATACATTCCAAAACTTGGATACTGTTGATAAAGAGAAAAAAAAGGTCAAGCACAAGACCTTGCAGAAAACATGAATTTTAAGGTGGGAGGTAAGAGGTGATATCAAATATATAGTCTATGGGAGAAGAGTGTTTCAAACAGCAACAAGGATAAGAAAGCAGAACCAAGAATATTATCCGACATCTGAAGATGACAGATTTAGATAAGTTAAAGTCATTAATAGAGTAATAAGCTATAAAACATCTGGTAGCTGCAGGATAAGATGACAACAGTGTATATGGAAGGGAATGAGAAGCCAGTAAAAAAGGAAGGAAGAATTGTGCATGGAATAAACAAAAATATCTTTAAATTATTTTGGTTTGTGAAAAAAAGTTATTTTCCAGAGAAAATTAAATCATAAGCCAGAATCTTAAGAGAAAATATCAAGTTTACAAAATTAATAAATGACACATCTGGAAAATCACATCAAAATGAAGCTGGTGGGAATCAGTCACATAAGGTTTTTGAAAAGTTAATAAATATTTGAACATAATAGGAAAAGAACTTAAAGTCAAGAATAGGGTAATGATAGTGCATGAATATGATAACCAATGTAAGCAAAATCAAAATTGAAGGCCCATGAAGAAATACATAATATTAAGCATTGGCATAAATATATATTTAATACATGTATTATTTTCTCTTCATAAATCCCACTTGTCTTCCTCAAATTTCTTTTTCAGGAACTCTTCTGTGAATATAAATGCAACTTTCATAGCTTATTCCCAACCAATAAATTATTCTTCTGGACAAGTTGACAAAACAGTACTTTCATCATGTGCATGATCTGAATAAGTCACATTATATGAGCTACTTCATTGCTACTTACCAAGTTATGCTTAATGAGCTCTTTAGCAAATTCAAATGATGTTGAGGCACTGTCCATCAAACTTTTAAGCTCTGCCTTGTGGTTTTAAAGAAATTTTTTTTAAAAATAGGTCATATTATTAACAGTGGTAACCAAAGAAATAAACATTTTGCTTAAATGAACTTATTATCCAAAATAAGATAGGATTAAAATATGTGTTCTATATAGTATCAGGAACAATAGAAATAGCTATACACAAACTGCAAAGAATTTGCATTTCTCAAGAATAGATACTGAAATGTTATAACAAAATTTAATCTTGGATTGAGGAATGATTTGAGAGATAAAACTATAGTAACAAAATACCTCAGCAGCTTTCCCATTGTAGAGTCGGAAATGATTACAAGCCTTTAAGTTAAGAGCAATGGTACTATCAGGAACCTGTTGAAGGTAAACAGCTAGCACCTCTTGAGAGACATCATAGTAATCCAGCTTGTAGTAACACAAGGCCACATATACATTGAGGGCCAGATATTCCCTGCCAAATCAGAGTTCATCAATATATTAATATAACTACTGCTTTATGAAATTCAACTAAGTTTCAGTGATATAAAACTTAGAAAAGCCCAGTATAAAAATAATACCCCAAATATCCACCTCCCTTCACTACAACTTCAATGAGCATCAGAATGGCACAAGATATTAATACATTCATCTTGCTACAAACTGTGGTAAAGTAAATGTCTATGGTATAGATATGAAACTCTCAGCTAATGGAATACTAAAACTATTGCCTAGAATCGTGGGCACATAATTTTACATTTGTTTAAAAAAGTAACAAAAATATCAGAAAAAAAAATCATGGACACTGCAGCATAAATTTATATTACATTGTTTCTAAGTGATCAAGAAAAACAATTTGGAATCATAGTGGATAACTCACTGAAGATTGACATAATATGCAACAGCTGTGAAAAAGCTGTTTTCCATGGAGAATTTATGAGAAAGGGGACCTAGTGAAAATAAATCTGTCAATAATTATTTATTTTATAAATAAATGGCTCTCTTGAGTCTCAAGATAGTGAACACAGCAGTCTCTCCTGCACTGTTTTCCTCACACAAACAACCACATAAGATAGATTGGCCAATTTAAGCTGAGAATGACTGACCCAAAGTCAACCAGTGAGTCTCCATGGTTGAGAATGGATTTGAATTTGGGTTTCTACTGTTCTAGCCCAACATCTCTGAAGTAAGTACTGTGTACATTTTTGGTCACTACATTTGAAAAAAAAAGATGCAATGGGGGTGGAAAAAGTGCAGAAGAAAGCAATCAAAATGACCAAAGGGCTCAAATATCTTTGAGACTCTTAGCTTGAAGAAAAAGTAACTGAGTGAAGATTCAATCAATGCATATAAAAATGCAGAGCGTAGAGAGAGTAGACTGGAAGAAGTTTCTCTTTCAAAACTGGGATCAGGAGACTTCAAAGAAATTGACTGGAAGTCTTGGAATAAATACAATGCATAATTGGTTTGTGGAATTCATTAACACAAGACATAGGCATGGCTATTAGTTTGGACTGCTTTAAAAAGGATAATTTATGAAGAATATATTTATAAAAAGCTGTTAGGCATGGAGACTCAATATTCACTGTTTCAATGAGGTGGCTGCATGCTTCCAAATACAAATAGAACAATAGCAAGAGAAGTGTTTGCTTTCATTTCTTATTTGCAAGTATCCTAGAAGGATTTAGTTGGTTACTATGATAAGCAAATTGCTGGCTTAAAATAGATCTTGATTTGATCCAGCTACTTTTCTATTTTCTAGTTTTAACAAGATTCAGGAGCTAAATGGAATAAGGTGCATCTGGATCTAATTGTAGCTCCTAAATGATTTGCAGCAGATTGCCAAAGATTTCTGACTCCTATTTGCTTAACAGTAAGGACTTCAAAATGATTCTCTCCCACGACAAATTAAACTACTGACATGAAGAAAGACTGGGGTAATTCGGATTAGATATTTAGGTGGAAAGTTTGCTCCATTTGTTCTGGCCCTTGATGAAATTCTAAAGTTGGATTTTAATTCTTGTCTTTTTCTTTTTTAACCGGAATCTAATTTAAACAGGAAAAAAAACCCACTATATCCTGCCAGATTTATCCAATTATTTAAAAAATATTTTTAAATGATTTAAAATTTGCACAAGGTACAAATCTCAAAAAATAATTATTCACTAAAAAAAATAGCCCCAATCCTAACCACATATATTTAGTATGAATCTATAATTGTACCTTCATTAGCATTTTTCCTTAAGTGTCCACATTCTCTGCATGTTTTGCTAAACTCAGAACTCACTACTGGATCAAAAATTTAAAGAAGATTTTACAGTAACATTTTTAACAAGGATCTCAGAAGGCAATATTTAAACTCAGCAAAAAATAGCTAAAATACTGCAAGATTGAAAAGCCCTTTCCCTATGAAATTATTTTTTTCAGCCCTTCTCCTCCTAATTATCTATTAAACAGATAGAGAGAAGTTGACCCAACCTGTTATCAAGCAATATGCGTTTGTAGATATCAATAGCTTCTTGATAATGAGATCGCATGTAGTGTATAGATGCTAAACTAAGCTGGTCTTCTGTTATATCCTGCAAATTCTGATGGAAGCTCATCAGTTTCTTCTCATCACCAAACTAAGAAGGAAATATGATTTAAAGAGAGACAAGTGGATGCCTTACACATATTCTAATACTTTGTTTCCTGAGAACAATATTTTAACCATATTTCTCCTCCACCACATTTCATTAGAAACTAATTATTTTTCCAGACTCCAGGCCATCTACAAAAGGGTCACCTTTTCTTAATTATCTTAATTCTTGTCACCATGAAACTTTCAGGCTTTCGCCTTCTATGTCTACTTAGTACTTCAGCTCTTAAATCATCATTCTACCTGACCAAAAGTGAATAAATTTTAGCAGAATCCCCATGGTACAGAGAGATAGTAAATAGAGTTGGTGTCAATTAGATTTAGTTAGGTTTTTTTCCCTTTCTTATATCATCTCCAACATCTTTTGCTTCCTTTTCTTCAGTAACTTGCATTACACTGCTTGCTCTGAAAACAAATAGCATGATGGGTATTTATAAGATTTTAAATAACATTTGGGCACATGATGGGAACTGGATTTCAAAATACTTCAACTACTTCCAAATCTGATCCAATGTTTTGAAATACATACCTTGTGTGCTAGATGGAACAACAGACGGTTCTGAAGTCTACTCTTGGGAGCTGAAAACAAAATTAATATCTAGGTTTTCAAACTTATTAATTCACATGTCTCATTTTCACAGTGCAACCAATGCCCCCACTCACTTCCAGTAAGTGCATCTGAATTTATTGCCAGTAAATATATATAAAAACGCAACCTTAATTACCAGACTCACCTTTCAAAGCAGCCTGTTCAGCTTCTGTATACATTCCCAAGAAAAAGTAAGTGCATGCTAGATTCACCCACACATCAGGGTTGCAGGTAGATCCCTTGGTTAAATCTTCATATTCCTTAAATAAATAACAGTTTTTGATACAGCCTTATTTAATCACCACAGACAAATTTATGCTTTATTTCTTCTTGTAACCCAGCCAGAGCACATAAGAACTGTAAATTAAAAAATATAAACAGAAGTGACTACTATGTCCAATGCAGATATATTTCAGCTATCATCAACATTTTGAAAAAGCTGCATCCTTTTCATTGCAGCTGTTTTTAGGACTTTCCCAAATCACTTCTACAAGTATGTATGTGCATGTACAGCAGTTCTGCTCTATTAGAAGTATCAGTGGAAATGTTTTATGTGCATGCATGAAAATAGTTGTATGGTGTTTCCTGGAAGATACTACTACTTCTGCAGTTCAAGAAGAAAAACTTTACTCATATCAATCTGCTTTGCAAAACATCCGTGTAAGTACTTTGCACAACCCTACATTGTACCACTATACTTTTCTTCTACAATATTTAAACATATCTTCAACTAGATGCAAGCCTTTGAAATACTGATCCTTTATCTTACTTATTCTGGTCCGTGAGATACATTACAATCTTAAATTTCATTCTTCACACATAGTAAATTTGAAGAACAATGTTACATAGTGACACAGTCATAATGACACAATCATGTGTAAATTAATTCCATTTTCTCTTAAAATGGTTCTCTCAAAGTATTTTCCTCATGTAAAGAAAGAATTTTGAAAAATAGCAGGTCATAAATTAATGCATTGTATTTCATAAATTAATGCATTGTATTTCAGTCAAAATAAAAAAACGATATATAATGTATTCACTAGGCTTCTGGACACAAAATAATACAGCCAGTATTTTTTGCTTTTATATCACTTTGGGGCATATTTAATTCATCCTCATTCTTACAAATGTAAGAGAACATCCTTCTTTTCAAGACAAAGAAGCACTACCTCACCTCCAGTGCTTTCTTGTAGTCACCCAGATGGAAAGCACAATATCCAATCCAGAGGTCTGCATCTTCCTCCTGTTCTCCAACCTGACACTTAAACTTGGGAAGAAGGCAGAATAAAAATTAAAGTGATATCCATCTGTGACCAAGTTTATATAATTTTTAATTATTTTAAAATGACAAGTTTATTGTCTGTAGCCATACGGTATACACAAATCTACCCTTTTAAGCAGTGATGGGGTTTAATTTTAACCCTCTCAAAAGTCACAGTATATATAATGTTCATATATAAAAGAGGAGCTCACATTTAAATTAATTAGATATTTACAAATATTTAGATAGCCAGTTTTTATGACTGGCAGGCAGAAATGTATTAAGGTGGTCATGAATATGATGTGCCATCAAGTGATTATTGACTTAGCAACATCACAAATTTCTCTATGATGATATTAATGTCATAGGATCTCCATATGATCAATCTATTTGTCACTGTCAGTTAGGCAGTACTCATAACCACAATATGAGTGAAGTGCAAAGTGTGGTTACAATACATTCATGCCAACTTTGCTTTTCTCATTGCAAATGCAGGTTTTTAAAAAGGCAATAACATTGTACTGTGATTATCCTTAAGTGTCTGCATGTAATTACCATAGTGTAATGTTGACACACACAGTTCATGATGCAAACTTGAGTCTTTTGTACTTGCATTTTAATATATCAATCTTAGATTTATACTCTGTTGAAGAAAACAAACTAGGAATTTACAAATTAATAAATTAAATAAACTTAATCTTAATTTGTTGATGCAGTAATCATATTCTCACATTTAGAAGCCACACTAAACCATCCATATATGCACAAACATAGTACCCAGTCATATTGCAGTTTAATAATATTGCTTCCTCTGCATTGTTCTCAACAAGGAATAAACTTTTAGAACAACTACTACATTAGCTTATTACCATGTTCACACATGATAAACTAGGAATTTTGGCTTATTACAAAGTGAGCAAGCAGTTTATCCTACCTTCTCCAGAAAATTAGGTTGATTACTATAAAATCTTAATTCCTAAACTGGTAAAGTCATTATAATCTATCTTGTTCATAATCTTGTGATTTAGATACAATACAGTAGTTTTCTTATTACTGCTGATACATCATCATCAGTCTGCTCATCAGCTATGATGACTACATTTAATCTATAGCAAGGAGGATAAATTGTAATACGTGGATTATCTGGGGCCACTGCATACAGTGGTTAGACTCTAGATTTATTTCTCTTTTGCAGAGGTGGTGTTTGCCACCCTGGAAAATCAGAGAAGCAAAAAACGGGGATGTTCTCAGTCTGAAATGACTGGTGTAACAAGAACATGGATGGACAGCCTTCCTTTTTTTTGTAAAGCACTGATCTGTTCCGAAAGCAGCTTACTGAACAGAGCAGAAGTCTTAACCAATATGCAGAAGTTTTCCAATATGCTAGCAAATAATCCAGAAGCGGCCGCAGCAATTCCACTTGCAGAACTCTCGTCCCGCCATATTCCCCAGATGTATCCCTAGTACCTCTAAAAGGGCAATGCCCCCAGTGAAATCTCGCTGAGTTAATAATTCTTCCAGCTGCGGCAGCCGTTTGCCTTTCTTTCTGCGTTTATCCGCTGATTGAGGCGCGCCTCCAACAGCGGGTTTCAGCCGTGAGAGCATCTGCAAAAGCGATAGAAGTAAGAACAGGTAAAGGGAACAGGACTCCGCTAATCTTTTTCGCCCTCTCATCTCTTTAGAAAAGCTCCTTAATCTAGCCTTATCCGATTCTTCTTGTCCCTCACCATCTTGCCCACAGGCCTGCTTCATAAAAGCAACGGTCGTCTGTTGCTGCTCTGCCTCACCAAAGTCTCTGTTACCCTGGCAACTGCGCGAACGGAGGTAGTTAGGGTAAGGCAATCTGGCCTGGGAGACATCAACAAAAGACCGGGCGGCAACTGCGAGTCATACTTACAGTTCCGGCGGCGCTCCGACAAAATAGTTTTGGGAAGAATCTCAGAAATCCAAGAGCTTAAGTGACGTGAAGAGCCGTGTATCCAATCGTGGTTTAGGAGGGCGAAGAAAAAAAAGAGTCCCAGTTCGACGGAAAAGCTCCGTTTTTACGAAGTGTTGAGTAGCTGTATCTTGTCCAGTGACACATTCCTGCAAGAAAAATCACTGCGGTAGGCATCTCTGTAGAGTTGCTTACTCAGTTGCTGCTACAACTGACTCTGATGGGTCAGATAATGGATCAGATATCACCACCCAACAAAGACTGTTTCTACTTACTACAATATGCTATAACCACATATTTATTTGGAGACGTATACAGTTATATACTTCATATTTATATTTTTATATTACAACAAAATAATACTTATTCCCAAACCATACACAATAAGCATCTGAGAAGGACAAGAAGGCAAATGACATGATGTATTGTGACCTGACACAAAGCCTGTGATTTAACATATTTTCAAATGAGTAGGACTAAAAAAATAATCACTGTTTCTGTTGGTATCATTAGTAGATTTTTATCTTTCCTTAAATGACATGTCACCAGGCTTGTGCAATTTCTTCATCATTATTATTTCTTTCAGATACTTATGGTCCAAAGGTTTTTAATAGCACCACTACTGCATACATAGAATAACATTTTACAGAATTCATGAATGGTTTATGGAAGTTTAATGACATAAAATCATGGACGTTTATGACAAAAATCATACTACAATTTTATACATGACTACTTGGAAATAAGTATTGTTTTCAATTAAGCATATTGCCTAGATCAGTCTGAATTAAATTATAAACTTTAATGAGCTACCATACAGTGATAGTGATTATTTATATATGTGTGCTTATTAAAGAATGATGCCTGATTTATGTACCATGTTGAATTTGTCACTTCAGCATGGTACATTTTTCATTAATGGTTCCAAAATAAGTTGTTGGGCTTTTTTGCATAACCAAAAACTTATTTTGGAATCATTAATGAAAAATGTCTATTCATTTAAGATAGAAATATCAAGAGCAGTAATGTTTTTTCTTCTGTTTTCTGTTTTTACAATGGTTGATGACTAGAACTGAAGAAATAGGTAGAATACAACTGTTTTAAATAAATAAATATTGTGGTCCGTTTCTTTCCTCTCAGAGATTTTGCAGAGCAAAAGGGAAATCTATAGATCTGCTGTCTACCATCCCTATGCCCGGCAAAAATTATACTAATATTAAATTTGTTACCCCAATCCTGCCACAAACATGATTGCAAATGTGTTATCCTTATATACAATATTGTACATTTAATGACAAAGATTGATGGATTCTCTCAGTTTTATTGTACTCTGCTAAGTATCGCCAACTGAGAAAAAAGAAAAAAATCCGCCAATTTTTCTCTTTAACATGGGCTGTGGAGGAGACAATTTCTGCAAATGGCTAGACCATTAGATTTTCCAGTGGATTTTCCACTTTACAGAAGACCATCACATTATATTTATTGAAAAGGAACATAGTTATAGCACTTCAGCATACCAATACACTAAACAAAAAGGAGCCAGATACAACAGATACAATATGAGGACATAGGCATTGGAGACCTGGTTGCCTGATCCAGGCACTTGGGTCAGGTGGATAGATAAACTATGTCACTATTGATGATGGGCGTGGTGACTGTTTATTCTTGGGTTCCAGGGATTGTATTTGCTGAGTTTTATAATCTTGTAAGCTGCCCAGAATCACTTATGTGAGATGGACAACTATATAAATCATATAAATGAAAACAAATTATAAATAAAACAGCACAAAAAAGATCAGGCTCTTTTCTGCCAGTTCAGCAGTATTAGGGACAGCATGGAGACTCACTGAGACAAAGTCTCACGGATAATCAGTGTAAAGCTGATTTGTGATGGGAGGCAAAGAGTCATTGTAGAGATTATCTAGTTGTTTTCTGGAAATAAACCTCCTGGACAGGAAATGGTTTGTGGATAATTGTAGGGACAGAAATCATTTTCTGTCACAGAAGATTTATTTTTGGAAATCCATCAAATCACCACTAGAACATACTGTGTTTCTTATGCTACTTTTACCAGGTTAAATGATTGATGCTCCAACAATCAGAAAAGTTTTTTTAAAATCTCTGCCCTGATGTTTACTAGAAAGTCTGTTTATACATTTCTAATATGTAATATTTTCTAATACAAAAGCAAAGCATATAAAAGGCAACATAGAATTTCTACAGAGTAATAAATTTGATAGATTATCCATTCAAAGTGAGAGAAAGAGGGAAGTCCAAGTCACATTCATCACCTGCATGCACCTTTCCTATTTTCCACTATTAATAATTCTCAGGAGCAAAAATGTTGCCTATCCCTATGAACAGTGAGGGAAATAAGTTAAAGAATTAGGAGGACAAGTGGTGTTTTCACTTATACTTCCAACAAAAGGCCAACATCCAATGAGGGAGCAAAGGATTTTAGAAATGAACCACTGGTTTAAAAACTTGTGTTGTCAAGAGAACTTTGGTTTTCTAGACCAGGGCTTTTCAACCTTTTCACAAATTATACCACTTTTAGGACATGACAATATTTGAGTACCACCAGTGCTTAGCAAGCTGTCAAAAACTTGATGACTAAAAAAGGAGGGGATTTGGGGTTTTACTGATTAAATTCATTTGTTGTTATAGAAATGGCTAGTTTATAATATTTGTCAGCATCCTTACCAGTCCCTTGATCCCTCGGACACAGACACAGAAGATAGACAACAAGGTGACCGGCAAACAGGAACGATCCAACAAGTGCTTTAATCCGCAAACAAAGTCAGCGCTGGGAGTGGTTTGCTCCTAGCGCCTTACATACGATCCCTACCTGCAGCTCCACCCCCCCACACACACAGCAGGCTAACATCCAGTGCCTTCCTTTGAAAGCAGCACCGCAGATCCCTCTCCTGGCTTGCCGCCTGGTCACAGCTGGTTGGGATTGGCTCCGTGTTTTTCAGCTGTGTGTCTGAGCGACAGAATCCTCTGCAGTGTTGGACCCCTCTGCAGCGCAGGTAGGCCTCCTTGCGTTCCAGCTGGTCGGCAGCCCTGCTGCGCGGCCGCCTTGTCCATTCAGTGATGTGTTGCTTAGCAGGTCCGGCCCCAAGCTGTGAAGCTTTCCTGTCCATCGCCGGCAGCGCTGGGCCCAAGCTGTGAAGCCGCCTGTCCATTTGGTGGCATCCCAGCTGGCATTGGTGCGGGCCCTGGCTGTCCTCACTGGCGTTGGGGCGGGGCCATGCTGTCCTCACCAGCATAGAAGTGGGGCCTGGCTGTCTGGTGGCATAGCCACGATGGAGCTGCAGGGTGCGTCGCCATTCCCCCCCCCCTTGAATGTCGAGCCCTCGGGGCTTGACAATATTATGGAAAAGTAAAAAGTTGAGGTTCAATGTTAATGCTTCCAGAAGTCTGTTCTTTTTTCCTTCTCCCCCTCACTTTTTCCCCCTTTTTCCTCCCCACTGTGTCCTACTATTTGCTTTTGTATTTTTGTATTTTATTCTATAATCTAATAAAATATTACAAACTGTAGAAAAAAAGAAAAAAAAAGTACCATTTTTAATTTCTTCGGTGGCTGTTCCTTTGTTGAATCACTTTCCCTTTGCAATGACAAATGTATGATGAATTTATCCATGTTTATTAATATGCACCACTACCAGCTAGTTCAGGGGTCTTCAAACTTGGCACTTTTAAGACTTGTGGACTTCAACTCTCAGAATTCCTCAGCCCTCATGGCTGGTTGAGGAATTCTGGGAGTCGAAGTCCACAGGTCTTAAAGTTGCTAAGTTTGTAGATTACTGAGCTAGCTTGTCAGCCCTTCTTCCTCTCTCCCTTCTGAGCTCTTTCCACAGTGTAGTAAGAATGCACTCCCCCCAATCCCTTCCCTGTACCCTTAAAGACACTGGAATCAAGTGCAAAGCAAGAAACACAAATTCTGGGGTTTTTTTTTTGTCTCTTTAAGTTGCCTCAGGCGTATCACATGTCACAATGTTGCAATCCTAGACTAAAAGGCTCTGGCAATTGCGAAAAGCTTTAGCTTTAAATTAAGCCTCTTTACCTTCGAAGAAAACTTTCTAAAAGCCATAGACAGACTCAATTAAAGGGGGTAAAACTAATTTCATTTGTTTAAAGGGATTAAATCTTTCCTGTTGCCTTTTTTCCCTTCCCCCACCCAAACCACCTCCTTTTATAGCTTTTCCTCTCCTCCCCTCCTTTTTCTTCAGTTCACCTCCAGCTCCAAGCTGCTTCTGGAAGTGCCAATCAGCTGGAGCCCTGCCGGCTCCTGGGGCTTCTGACAAGCCCAAACAGTCATGCAGCTGCAGCTGCCTCTCCCTCAGGCTTGGCTCACTTAGGCTCATTCCCCCCCCCCCGCTACACTTGGCTAGCAGTTGTGTACCACCTGCCATGTGGCAAAGTACCACACCCAACCAAGCAGAAGAAATTGTTTTTGCTAAACAATTAATGAATGTATGTTGGAAACATACCACAGTAGTAATGAGAGAGTATAACTACCCTGATATCAGAGTTTGGGAGACAAACTCTGCAGTAATAGCTGACAATTTTGTCATTCAAAAGGTAGAGAAGAGAATTAGAAGAAAAGTTATACTGGATCTAATTCTTACTAATAGAAAATAAGTAATAGAGGGAGTTGAAGTTGCGGAACCTTAGGCGAGAGTGACCATGTCATATTGGAATTCAATGTAATGCAAACACAAACAATAGAACACAATTCAACCAGTGTCTTAAACTTTAAAAGAGCTGATTTTAACAAACTCAGAGCCTAAGAAAGATTCCATGGAAGAAAATCCTAAAAGGGAAAACAACTCAAGAAGCATGGGAAACTCTTAAAAA